AGTGTCCATCCCTAGATGCATCTTCCATGCAAGTTTGGTCCAGGTTTGGCTTATAGATACTTGGGATTGAAAATGTAGGTTAGATCCAGCATCCGAAGCTAGTCTGGTAGTGTACATCTCTAAATACATCATCCATGCAAGTTTGGTTTAGCTAGGGCTTATAGTTACTTGAGAATGAAAATGTAGGTCAGATCCAGCATCATAAGCAAATCTGGTAGTGTCCATCCCTAGATGCATCATCCATGCAAGTTTGGTCCGGGTAGGGCTTATAATTCCTTGGAAATGAACCTGCTCCAAAAACTTTAACCTGCTCCAAAAACTTTAACCTCGCCACTCATCTAGAAAATATAGGTCAGATCCAGCATCCGAAGCAAGTCTGGTAGTGTTCATCCCTAGATGCATCATCCAAGCAAGTTTGGTTTAGGTAGGGCTTATAGTTACTTGGGAATGGACTTGCTCCTAAAACTTTAACCTGGGACGCCAACGCCGGGGGTATAGCATAAGCTTATCTCGACTTCGTCGAGGTGAGCTAAAAAAGATACACCACTCTATATAAAAATAAGACACCAACCCCCAGAGATCATTTCTGATCTCAGGGAGGGACGTTTTTAAGCTCAGAATATCGTTGGAAAATAGAAGAGCCTGGAGGTACTACTTTAAAGGGAATATGGATGAGAAACAAAGAGAAATGTATTCAAGATTTCTTTGAAAAGAATCCGGGATAAACAGGAGCCAATGAGATCTACCTGTATAAGAGAATCAAGTTACCAGACCACAAATGGACAAAAGCCATGGTCTTGTTAGGACCTAGAACCCCTAATTATCTAGAATTCAAATGGAAAGTCAAATATGTCTTGGCTCACCAAAGAAAAGGACCCGAGAAAACTTGGATTCAAGGGAAATGGTTAGAAAAAGACGGGGATTGTATGCAAGATTATCTGAAGAGAGTGGTGGTAAAAGAATATGACATCATGGACTGTGCCTGTGAAACAGAATATTTGTACATGAGGAGATCGTTTCCCATACAAAAAGTACTGTACCAAAGTTTTGAATGTTTGTTATTATGAGATTGTTCTTATGAATAAAAAACCTAGGAAAAAAAATTGGTGTTGTTGGTTTTTCCCCAGAGACTAAAAATAGATATCAACAGATATAAAACCGACGTTTCAGTCTGACTAAGCTCACTTAAGCAATCATGACTTACGTATGGAGAATGTCTTATTTTATTCAACGAGAACATAGTACATGTCCTCGTTGTAGTAACCAGTTGAACGAGGTCAGCAGAATACCTGTGTATGACAGTGATGATGAAGTTATTGATGTCTATTAGGGATGTAATGAATGTGGAGAACGCATACCTCACTGACAATAGACTATCCCCCTAGTGTGGAGCGTTGTCACTGTGATTGGTGCCTGAAATATTTTCTGTGGAAATATGGTATTGATTATATGATACCACCTTGGGCCAAGCTCATGCGAAGAAATAACAAGATCGAGAGGTGCCCCTCCTGCTGGGAAGACAACACTCAAGGAAAATGGAAATGTCAGCAGTGCATGAAATATCCCTGCTGTGAAAAGTGCTGCAAGTTCATTATAAGGCTTTCTTACAAAAGTTGTCCTTTGTGTCGATATGAAGGTAATAATTAATAAAATATGATTTTGTTTTGGTTTTCCTGAGATACTTAAAATAGATTGGGGTTTATAAAGAAATAGACTTAAAGGCCCTCTCATTCTGAAAAAGTTCAGTCTTCAAGTCAGACGTGTTTTTCAAAGATGCAGTATCGTTGGTATTGTGAGAGTCCCATCAGTCAGTTTATGTACATGCAAGGAGACTGGATGAAAAGTAAAATAGGAGCCATCATGGATTTCTTTGAAAATCATCCAGGATATTATCTCAACAATGGAAAAAAGAGTTAAAATCATATGTCCTAAAGGAACTAGAGTGAGGATGAAAATCAACCAACATTATCAACAATACAAATGGGTCACCTGTACTCATATGAACAGTCTGAAACCCATCAACATGGTGCTGAATGAAAGTGGTTGGTACTCGGACATCGGTGAGTGTGTGAAACATTTTTTCAAGATGGAGAAAAAAGGACAAACGTTTCCACGTCATTACTGTCCTACAAAGTACGTGTATTGTCGCATCCCCTTTTCCAAGATTAAAGACAATGTGGAAAAGGAAGGACTTGATGTGTTGAATCGAGTGATTGATTACAGATAAGAAGAGGAGATGTACAAAATTGGAATAAAATGTTTTTTTTTTTAAAGTGTTGTTATAAATAGAAAGGTCACAGGGCCTGGGGTCTCAGTAGTAGACTGAACCTGGGCGAGAGCAGTAGTTTTTACATGACTTTACCCAGTGATGGGTCCATGGCCTCTTTTCAGGGGAATACGACAGCTCAATTTAAAACATTATTGCCACAAGCAGTCGATTTAACAGACGGAGAATGGGAGGTGGCTTTAACAGAAATGATGTATCCCAATTTATTGAAAAACATCACAGAGGAGGAGGCTTATTTTGACATCCTGATCCCTCAATCTTTTGCTTCCCATATCAAAGACCCGAATGTTTTTAAATCGGGCAGATTTAAAATGAAAACCATAGACGCGATGCCATTAAGTCAATGTCCTGTATTGATAGATTGGGCCCATACTAAATGGCCTCAACTCATTGATCGAGATAGCAAGATGGAAATTAGGCGAATTCACTTCAGACCCGGGCCTTACACTCACCCCATGGCTTTAACAGAAGAAATAGGTTTAGGCCTAGAGAGATCATTTAAAAAAATATGGAAAACCCTTGGTCATCCAGATGAAGAAAATTCTATGAAATTAATATATTACCAGACATATGATAGAGTGATGTATCAATTTAATGGAAAAATGCTTAAAAAACTCCCTTGTGCATTCGTTTCCCCACATCCTTAGCTTATAAGCTAGGAACGGACAGTAAGAAGGTCATTCTTCAGAACGATACAGAAACCATGACCAAATGGATCAACATTAGTTACTTGGGAAACAATACTGTGGATTTATATGAAAATCTGAAATCCATTTATGTCTATTGTGACTTGATTCAACCCCAGACGGTAGGATCCAATGCGTTGAAATTTTTAAGAGTGGTTCCTTGTACATATCATTTGGAGGACTCAAAACAAGCCTAATGGGAACCCGTTAGAGCGGAATATTTGAAACAAAGTAAAAACATTTTGATACCATTGAGATTCACATCATGACTCCTTTAGGGACTCCCATGCCCTTTGTAAGTGGTAAATCAGTGGTGAAACTTCATTTCAGAAAAGTATACTGAGATGAATGTACAGTTGTTTTGTTACATCTTATTGGGAGTGATGGCTTGTCTGGTATGCTGTCTGTATTGTATTCAGCCCTAAAGGTATAAAAGGAAGTCCCTGAGTACAGAAAGGTCAGTTGAGCAAGAGACATGAACCATGCAGTATCATCCCGGATTACTGAGACAAAGAGGACACGGACAGCTTGTCTATCATAGAGGTTTATTACATCAAAAAGGACACGGTTTTTTAGGATCCCTATTTAAAGTAGCAGCTCCCTTAGTCAGCAATCTAGTAGGAGGATTATTAGGAGGGGCTCAGCAGCAACCCCCACCACCACCACCACCAGCCTATTATCCACCCCAAAACTATCAAAGAGGGAAAGGATTTTTACTGATTTATTGAAAACCGGAGCTAAACACGCCTTGACTGCTGCTGCTAGAACGGGGTTAAAAAATACTTCGGGAATGGTGAAACAAAGAATGAATCTAGGAGGTACTAAGAAAAGAAGAAGAAAGAGAATGAAAAAACAGAGGGGATCGGGAATGGTGATTAAAATAACAAGAAGAAAAAGAGGAAGACAGAGAGGCAGAGGATTTTTTACTGATTTACTGAAAACGGGGGCTAAACACGCCTTGACTGCTGCTGCTAGAACGGGGTTAGACGTATTAGAAAATAAGAGATCTTTAAAAGACGCAGTCAAAACTCACGGAGTACAAGCCTTGAAAAATAATTCGAGAATGGTGAAACAAAGAGTGAATCTAGGAAGTACTGCAAAAAGAAGAAAAAAGACACCTTTGTTAGCCCGAGGAGGTCCTAAGAGAAAAAGGAAAACACAAGGAGGAATTCCTAAAAGAAAACGTCCTTTAGATGTGTTTTACTGAGAGAGTATAAATAGGACAGTCCAGTGAACAGAAGGTTCATTTGTGAAAACTTAATCCTAGTATACACATCATGTTGCAACCCGATTCTTATGCGTGTGGCATGAACAATTTACAATTGTTTGAAGTCCCTCCGACTAATATTGCTTTAGAAGACTCTAAATGGGAAGAATATTACCCCATTTCCAGTACTTTAGATTCTGAGACAACTCCTATTGAATTTGAAATTAAAGGACAAGGAGATCACTATCTAGATTTATCTCAAACCTATGTTCAAATGGTATGTAAATTTACCAAAGACAATGGGGGTGATCTGACTGAGGCTAACAGCACTTCCAGTCCAGTGAATAATATTTTACATTCCTTGTTTACTTCCATCGATCTCAGTCTGAATGGAAAAATAGTGAGTCCGGGGACGGATACCTATCCTTACAAAGCTTATCTGGAGAAAGTATTGTCTTACCAACCCAGAAGTTTAAAGACACAGATGAGGGCCTGTAGTCTGTGGGAAAAAGATACAGCAAGACACATGGACGAAGTGGGGTTAGATGACCTTGGTGTAGCTCAAAATAAGACCTTTGCTGTAACTCCGGGTGTAAGTGGTGGTGCCGACACGGTGACCATTAACCAACGCATCCTCACAGAGTTACCGATAAATTCTAAAAACGAAGGATTCAGAAAAAGAAACCAAGCTATTGCTGGGAGTAAGAAAATCACTTTGCTGGATCGTTTACATCTGGATTTGTTTCAATAAGATCGATTTCTGCCCAATGAAGTCGACGTCCGTTTGAGATTTAATCGAGCTAGACCTGCTTTCTACATGATGATCAAGGCAGGAAGTACTGGAAAAGTGAAAATATTGAGTATGGTTTTGTGGGTGAGAAAAGTCGAACCCACAGCAGTCATGATGAATGCCATTAATCAAAGTTTGAGCACCCACAGAGCCAAACATCCATTGAGAAGAGTAGAAGTGAAAACCTTTACCATCGCTACAGGGACCCAATCTAAGATTACAGATCATCTGTTTCAAGGACAGATGCCTAAACGTCTCATTTTAGGCTTTGTGGAGAATGCGGCATTTAATGGAGATCAAACTAAAAATCCCTTTCATTTTCAAAACTTTGGGATAAAGAAATTAGATGTCAGTATCAACGGAGAGACCATGAGTACTCGTTGTTTTGAGCCCAATTTCAATGACGATTTATATCTGAGATCTTATCTCAATTTGTATCAAGCCCTGGGAAAATCAGGAGAAGATTGGGCTCCGGACATTACCCTAGAAGAGTATAAAAATGGATACACTATGTGGGGCTGGGATTTCACCAAAGACCAAGAGGCACAGTCGGATAAATTCCATATCATAGAAACTGGAAATCTGAGAGTAGAAGTTCAGTTTACCAACAATACAGCTACCACTTTAAATTGTGTGGTTTATGCAGAATTTGATAAACTATTAGAAATTAACAAACAGAGAGAAGTGAGTATTGATTACTAATGCATACGGGACAATTAAGAGAAGTCTTATCAAGAGAATTGAAGAGTTCTTTTGGTGGAGTGTACCCTTTAGATTTATTACCGGATCAATAAAGACCTGGAGAAAAAGCCATGGTAGTGAATACGGAACCTAAAGATCAACCTGGAGAACACTGGGTGTGTCTGTATGTGAGCAGTCCAGTGGTGGAATATTTTGATTCTTATGGATTTCCTCCTTTGCAAAAAGAAATTCAAGACTTTATCCAGCGCCATGCTCGTCAATGTATTTATAATCCGTATCGCTATCACGATTGGAATACAGATGTGTGTGGACAATATTGCGTGTATTATTTACATCAAAGAGACAAAAAGAGACAAAAACCAGATGAATGGTTATTCCCCTTTGATCAGAGTACAGCTTTGCAAAGGGATCGATACGTGGCTGATTGGTTTAAAAACACTTATCATAAATTACCTACAGGTCATGGACACACTTGTCAATGTTTCTACGCAGGTATGTTAAGGAAGCATATAAGTCATTTCTCAGAAAATTTAAGACATTTTAAAGAAAATTTAGTTTGATAAATTACCAAAACCGCTGATAAGTTCCAACTGTTATTAACTCCTGAATACAGATAAAAGAGTGTCTAAAACAAAGACGTGCACTACTGCCACAGGATCACGTGACTTCTATTTATAGCGAAACTTTCCTTAATAAAAAGGCTAACAGAACAACAATACCCCGGAGTTTACTAATTTTTTTTAATAAATAATATACTTGAAAAACACCTATTTTGTCTAAAAAGTGCTGCTAGAATCCCACTGTCCTGTCAGTAAAATAGTTATTCCACACATTCGCACAAAACCTTACCATGTGTTTTGAATTTTATACATATCAACCGAGATTTTTCGTAAAATCATGCTTAACTCGGGATTCTAGCAGCACTTTCCAAGATTGTCAGACGGCAAACTTTCCATCTGTACAAATCTTATGTTTTGAAATATCCAGCTTATTGTTGTTATGCTGCATTATTTTTGTCACAAATTTACAGAGGAAAGTCCGACCGGGATACATTATATAGCCGACTGTCTTCAAAAGAGAATAACATCGATGAAAATAAATTAGCATACGTGTTTTATTAACTGAAATCCACATGAATTTTACATAATATTTATGAGATTTGCTTTTAAACTCCATTTCACGTATCTTTGTACAAGCCGTCGTAGCCAAATTCTCTTTACACGACATGATCAATTCCCAAGTTACTTGATGTACACATATGACGTCATCAGTGGTAGATTTAAATAAAAATGACAGATACAGCATAACAAAATAAAAACATTTTATTTTTGTTAATGTTTACACGTATCTATTTATTTTCTAGAGTTAAATAACATATGTAAATACCAATATTACGAAAACTTGTGTTATAAAATTGACGTCATCTCGCTTACTATGATGTCATAATGTAGCACTGATTTAGTCAAGGTAGAATATTTTGTATGCTTCCTTATCACCCCTGCGTATCAAAATGTAATGTAATTGATTGTTGTTTGTTGTTGTTTGTTGTTAGATTTCAATAAAAGAAAAAAAAAAGAAAATTGGTTTTTTTGGTCATTTTTAAAAGTAGATTATCTCCCTTTAACCATAGATTAATTTTCAATACACAAAACAAAGTGGTAAGGGTTTGATTTAAAGATTGGTAAAAATAGATACAATGAAAAGGTATAAAAAGTCAACATGGTACAAACACACCTCATTTGTTGACTGGCTTTCTTATAGGTAACAGTTTCAGCAAAGAAATGAGTCAGAAAACTATATTAGAGGAAACTGAATGGTTACTTAAACAGGAGGGAGGAAAAGATATCATACCACCTCCCTTGATGGTAGAACATCCTGTAGAATATAAACCTCGGGAGGAGGGGGATAAAGAAAACATAAGACCAAACATAAAAAAAACAGATGTTATTAGAAAGAAGATTTTCTATGGCGTTGAAGACATAGAGTGAGAATAAGACAAAGAGAAGAATTAGCCCTAAGACTTTGTAATTTTAGAACATTAAAAAATGATAAAAACAACACATTCTTGTTTGTCATTATAAAAAAGGGGGGGGCATGACTTGAACCATCAGTTTGAACCATGAGTCTGAAGGAGATACAGGGTGATTTATTAAACAGTGATGTTGAAGCGATTGTACATCAGTGTAATTGTTTCACTGTGAAAGCTCATGGATTGAGTCAAAGTATTGCAGAGAAATTTCCCCAAGCGAATGTGTATGAGACTCGCAGTCCTATAGGGACTAGAAATTTAGCCGTAGAAGAAGATAGAGGAATTCCAGGAACTATTAAGGTGTTTACCTTACAAACACCTGTGGTCATTTATTTACTAGCTCAATGGGATTATGGCAGAGCAAGTCACAGACCTAAAAGAATCTCCACTTATCAAGACACCCCACGAAACAGAGAGCAATGGTTTCAAGCCTGTTTACAAAAAATGGGAAGTTTACCTTACAAGACTTATGGGTTTCTTTACAAGATTGCATGTGGGCTGGCCGGAGGAAATTGCACTCATTATAGACATTATATTGAACAATTTGCACACACTTATGAAAAACATGTGTACATTCTTCATCATCATTAATTGTGTGTTTTCATGTTATGTAAAATAATTTTTTTCTTGATTTCTTTATATCCATTTTTATCCATATTGAAATATAAACATGTAAAAACAGAATTAAAATTATATCTCATTGAAACTTTAGATTCAAGTTTGTTTTGCTTTTAAGTTAAAATAATTCACTGTGTATTCCAAAGGAAGACCAGCAGCCAGGCTTAACTTCATAGAGAATGGTTTATAGATGGTTAGGAACAAAACATATCTTCCAGGATGAGGACTGCAGAAAATAAAACCATTTTGTTATTATGACTTTACTACATGAAACAATGCCTCTTTTAAATGTAATGCAAAATAATATCTCTTATATATGGCTACCTATACTCTAATCGATTAAATTTCATTCGTAAAATGTATATTTAAGACAGACTTATTTACTATCGACTTTAAATGAAGACATGAATAGCACGCCATACTTTAACCACATGACAAAACATTCTCTCAAATTATGCAGAACTGGGTTATTTAGCATAGCTGTCATTAAACATATAGGTGAGCGATAACATAATCACAATAATAAACATTGTGAAACAACTTTAAACGACCTACATGTAACGGGAATCCCGGCAATCAAATTCCTAGTTTTCTTGTGTATATCATAATTCATACTTTAATATAGATTAAAATGTTAAAATATTAGTACTTACATGTCTCTGTAGTTTTTGTCAGAAAGTCAGTAAGATTTCAATATTTCAATAATTCACCAGATCTTAATTTCTACATCAGTACATGTCTAAAACTCTGAGTTCTTTCAAACTGTAGATTAAAATGTTAAAATATTAGTACTTACATGTCTCTGTAGTTTTTGTCAGAAAGTCAGTAAGATTTCAATATTTCAATAATTCACCAGATCTTAATTTCTACATCAGTACATGTCTAAAACTCTGAGTTCTTTCAAACTGAGTAAATATCACTCACTAGACAATGTAAAACCCTTGACCAATGAAATGTAAATGTTCAACCAATGAATGAATGTGTGTGTGAAATGTATAGGTGGATGAAGAGGGATGGGTGGAATACCTTATTAGTAATTGAAAGAGTTTAGATTTTAATTTATTTAACTATCATAAATTTATTTTATTTATTTATCATTTATTAAATTATTTAATAAAATATACATCTACTACATACACTGTGGATTACAAGCCTTTTTCACTGGGGTAAAAACATGCCGAGATTCGCCATGGCCGCCTTTTTTACATAGAAAATTAAGTCGTACTTGAACACATTCACTCAACATTGGAGAAGAGATAACTAAGACTTCTGGGAATTCACCTTTTATTCTGCGTGAATATTTAAGATGATTAGAATGTGTTTAGTTCAAAACTCATGGATATTTACTTTATTGGACATTTGGGAAAGTCTATATGTGGTTTTTATTGAATTATATTTGTTTACAAAAAATATATATTTTAAGTGTTTATGAGTTTAGCAAAAATAATTTAAAAAAATTATTAGGGGATCATAAAAAAAAATTATTGTGTAAAAATACTTTAAGAAAAATGATTATCAAAATATTTTAAGTTTACAAAAAAAAAAAAAAAAAATATTTCATGTGTTTATGAGTTTAGCAAAAATAATTTAAGAAAAAATATTAGAGGAGTTTACCATAAAAATTAATTTATTGTGTAAAATAATACTTTAAAAATAATGATTATCAAAATATTTTAAGTTTACCAAAAAAATGTGTTAAGTGTTTATAAGTTTAGCAAAAATGATTTAAGAAAAAATATTAGGGGAGTTTACCATAAAAAAAATTATTGTGTAATGAAAATGATTTTCAAAATATTCAAGTTTAAAAATAAAATTTAAAAGTGACCTGGTGTTTTCTTGACGCTCACGTTTCGTTGACTGTATGAAAAAAGATCATCTTTTCTGGACACACAAACGTTTCTCTTTACCCCTGTATAGAAAGCATATTTTCTAAAGAGTTGGATGGCTCTTAAAAGAGCCGTTGGGTGATTTTTTTCTATAAGGGTTTACTCCCTTAGCAGGCGCTCAATAAGGCTGCCGATGTCCTCGTCCTCACTGTGGACCCGAAACAGGGGGAATAAAATTCATCTCGGACTTTGATTTCGTTGAATTCACAACACCAAGGATATATACACCAATCGTTTAGAGAAGAGGATAGGCCAACAGACGCGTCAAGAGCTGGAGCAAGAGAATGAGAAGATCCTGGACGATGTGAAGGAATGTAAAAATCTGGCCGTGGAGGCTGGGTATGGTGAAGATCTATAAGCCGCTACTAACAGAATGGCGCCGAGTTCTAGAGAGCGTCTGCATTTATCCACACATTACGGCCCGAAAAGAAAAGACACTCTCTGAGACCTGAGTTAACAAGCATGGC